TGTTAACGCCACTTTCTTTTTCTTTTTTGAGACAGAGCCTCAAGCTGTCCCCCTGGGTAGAGTGCCGTGGCATAGCTCACAGCAACCTCCGACTCCTGGGCTCAAGCGAGTCTCCTGCCTCCGCCTCCCAAGTTGCTGGGACCACAGGCGCCCGCCATAACGCCTGGCCATTTTTTTTGGTTGCAGCCATCATTGTTGTTTGGCGGGTCCAGGCTGGATTCGAACCCACCACCTTAGGTGTACGTGGCTGGCGCCTTAGCCACTTGAGCCACAGGCGCCGAGTCAATGCCACTTTCTTTAAAAGGATACCCAAAGCACCCGCTACCCCAAGGAGAACAGTCGAGCAGCCACCACGTCTCATCCTGGAAGAGCACCCGCAGCCTCAGTGTGTTCTAAGCAAGGCGGGGAGGGATAATAAGGACTCGGTGTTTGTGAGGACTAAGGGGGAAAGATGCACCACACCTGAGCGTTATACCTGGTGGGTAACAGACAACAGATGGCAGTCAGAGTTGATGTGTTCACAGACACAGGCTGGGGTAAGAAGTACCCCATAAATGCGAGGCAATTGAAAAATTAAGCATTTTATGTACATCTAACATCTGCACTCTTACGCTCCCCTGCCTTCTTGGCAGGCAGAGTTGTTGAAGATAAATTAACCTTCCTGCTTCTGGGTCATCTGAGTGTTTGCTTCTAAGTTGGGGACCAGATTTAGACATACCATCAGTCCCTGGCAGGGCTTGGAAAGCTCTACAAGTGTGCTCTTGGCATCACTGTATCCTTTTGGATATGAGCTCCCCGAGAGCTTAGGTTAAGAAGTGCATGACTGCCTGTGGCCAGTGGTGTTTCTTCATGGTCAGTGTCACCTGGTTACTTTTCCAAACTTACTTTTTGGATTTTCAGTGGAATCACGCATTCCTCTGCTCCCTCTAAAAACCTTCCTGGTTGCTCTCAAATGCCTCTGCATTTACAGAGCCTTGGAGAGGGGAGGAGGAAATTAGAATGACAGGTTGGGGTATTGGGGAAGAGGCTGGAGTTTGTCTGTGAATCTGGCCTGGTGGTAGTGGCCATACCTGCTTTCTGTGCCCAGTGGGTATGTACCCTTTCCTCATGAGCCTTGCCCCGAGCACTCAAGCCCAGGGATGGCCACCATTTGGGAGCGCCGTCTCCCAAGCCTGAGAGTACCGTCTGCAGCTGGGATTCCCAGGGCCTTGGCTTTCCTCCATCTGTGTAAATGTATTTTTCTTGCGAAGAAATTCCAATCACAAGTAGTATTAAAAGAAAAGCAGCTTCTTTCATGAAACACTGTCCTAAGTTCTTTATTGTACCTATGAGGTCAGGTGCCACCATCTCCATGAAGTACAGGACAAGACCCCTCCATCTGCTGCCTGCGTCAGCTGGGACTTACTCTCCTGAGGGTTCCTGGCATGCTCTTCCCCAAGTAGCCCCAGAAGCCTCCTAAGAGCAGAACACTCGTCATCACTGCACCATCACCTACCTTCACCAAGGGCTCAACACTAGGTTCTGAGTTAAGAATTTTGTATACATCATACTTTTTTTTTTGAGACTGAGTGCTGAGGCATAATAGCTCACGGCAACCTCCAACTCCGGGGCTCAAGTGATTCTCCTGCCTCCTCCTCCCAAGTAGCTGGGACTACAGGTGCCTGCCGCAACACCTGGCTATTTTTAAAGGCAGGCTCATGCTTTAGCTCAGGCTGGTCTCGAACTCCTGAGCTCAGGCAATCCACCGACGTTGGCCTCCCAGAGTGCTAGGATTACAGGCATGAGCCCCTGCATCTGGCCAATTTTGTGTACATCATACTTAATCCAACAATCCAGATGAAACTGCCAAAACACACCCCAGATCACACAACCAGAAAAGGGCACGGATGTCCCAGCGCCATGACCTCCCCACCCCTCATGTGCTTCTGCACATGTGCCAAACGAGGGCTGGTTGAAGGAATCTGAGATGCTCACATGGTGTATTTCTAGAAATCTTTCTCAGACACAATAATTGATATGTTGAATGATGAACTTAAAAGAGGGACTCCCAGGTGAGACTCTGTTCATAATACTTTTAACAAAATCTGAAAATTCAGCAGCTTGACTCAGCCTACCTGATATGGTCCACTTTCTATTTATTTTGTTTTATTTTTGAGATAGTCTCACTCTGTCATCCTGGGTAGAGTGCCATGGCACTCAACCTTAAACTCTTGCCTCATGAGGGATCCTTATGCCTCAAGCTTCCCAAGTAGCTGGGACTATAGGCACCTGCCACAATGCCTGGCTAGTTTTTCTGTTTTTAGTAGAGATGGGATCTCACTCTTGCTCAGGCTGGTCTCGAAATCCTGAGTTCAGGTGATCCACCTGCCTTAGTCTCCCAGAGTGCTAGGATTACAGGCGTGAGCCATAGCACCTGGCCCATGGTCCACTTTAGACATTAAAGAATCTGAGGTGCTGCTGTGATTTTTGTTGTTAACAATTTCTTTCTAATTTGTCTTGAGGTCTGTGTAGAGCAGTGGTTCTCAAGCTTCCTAATGCTGCGCTGTATTTTCATTGCTACAAAGGGGTCGAGACCCACAGGTTGAGAACTGCTGGTCAAAAGTGACCAAAAGCCAAGACAGTCACTCTCTGCAGGGAGGTTTGAGGTCCTGATGGAGAGTTGAAGGCAATGAGTCAGAGCCCCCATAACCTGTGGGGGCTATGCTTTTATTAATGCCTGTGGGCAATATCCCTTAAAACATTGAGATGAGGAAGTGGGTTATACGACAATCCGGCACACAGGGAAGGAAGTTTTAAGTAGGCCCCAGAGAACAGGATACAAGTGTGTTTCAAACTTGTCAGGCCTAAAAATGGGTCTTGAGGCAGCAACTATATATTGAACACATCAATGACAATCGTCCTTTTGGGTGAGTGTTGTCTCAGGCAGTTCTATGCACACCTGCATCTACTTCCTCTGATTACAGTTGTTTCACAACCAATTTTCTGTTGTCCCCTGGTAGAGTGCCTTGGCGTCCATCTCTGCTGGATTTTGGTCAGTATAGCAGAAGATCTATGTTAAGTTTTCCCTTACTTGTTCCCTTTGTCATATTGGCTGAAAATTACCATTATTTACAGGATCTTGCCAGAGCACTGGGAAGTCTGAAGTGAAACTGAAAAAGTGAACCATGATCTGCTACTGAGCTGCCTACAAGGACTTTTCAGCTTGTCCATAAACAGAAACAAATATGTTGGCATGGACGAGGTAGCTATTACAAGTGAACGTACTACAGTTGTTGAGGAGATTACGTCACAGGATTGAAATGCTGGCGCATAAATAAAGGCTTTCCTAAGTGGCATCTGAAATATGTGACTATGTTACTGGTGATGAATACAGACATCATAGAATATTTCTAGTTGAAGGCATCCCAGCTCAGTAAGCCAGCACCTTGGGAACATTAGCAACTGAGTTCTAATGCAGTAAAAATATCTCTATTATGGGATAGAGATATGTGGCTCAAAAGGGTAGGGCGCCAGTTCCATATGCTGGAGGTGGCAGGTTCAAACCCAGCCCTGGCC